GGAACCCTTGACATCTGAGTGTTCAGCCTGGAGCGTTCAGTGCATCATGGCCTCTTCCCCAATTTGAAGAGACCCTTGTCCAGCAGGCTGAGGCAAAGAAGCAGTCCCGAAACCAGCCAAATCGGGGAGCTGGACAGGGGACAGGTTGTATTTGTCCTCAGTGTGGAAGAGATGGTCACTCTTGAATTGGCCTTCTCGGCCACACGAGATGCTGTTCCAAGTCCTCCATACAGAGCACGATACCATAGTCTCTTAAGTCTGAAGGATGCCTAATCTAATCTAATCTATGATTCTATACTCCTCTGTGAATCCCCTTCCTTCTACTATGCAGCAAAAAGAGAATTTTAACCAAGAATTCAAAACTCTGCAACAGTTCCTTTGGATTGTGAAGTTCTTCACCTATTATCTTAAGCAGAACATTTGAGAGAGGGGGGCAGAGAGAGATGGGAGGAGAGCGAGAGAGAACCCTGCCTCTTTAGAAAGAACAAGAGAATTTGGATGAGCCAAAAGAAAAGTCCACCAAAGTCTCAAAGCATTGCTGAAATCTTCTGTGGTTGGGGGTGTGGGAACCCATTAGGTTTCCGTAGGCAGAGAAGAATGCATCAGATTATTTGTCTTGGCTCACATATGAGATCCAGGACAGATGTTCAAACGTTATCTGACCGTCACGTAGCTTTAAGGCATTTCTTTCTTTCAAATCCTGGCATTTTCGTCCCACTCCCCACTCCACCAAGGGTTGCTCTTTGTGCTTTCTGGTGATGTTTTCAGCCACTGCAAGGGGTGGGGGACAAAAGCAAGCCCTCACGGGAAAGCTGAGTGGCAGGCTGTTGCAACACCCGGCCTGCCAACATCCTGCAGAGCTTAGCTTTGGTTTCTTCACCTGCTTCCTGCTTCTCAAAAACACCAAATTGCTTCCATATGCAGAGCAGACTATTTGCACAGTGCTCCCTGCCCCTCTGCCATGCTGGTTCAAAAATACAGTGGTGCCTCGCTAGACAATGATAATCCGTTCCACTGAAATCGCTGTTTAGCCAAATCATTGTCTAGCAAAAAGCATTTCCCCATGGGAATGCATTGAAACCTGTTTCATGCGTTCCAATGGGGAAGAATCGTCGTTGTTTAGCGAAGAGCGGCCATAGGAAAGCCACTTTGTGAACCGCCAATCAGCTGTTTAAATCGCTGTCTTGCGAAGCTTAGGTCCTGAAAACACCCGTTTTGGGAGCGCGGAGGGAGCTGTCAAAATCGTTGTCTAATGAAAACTGGTTTGCGAAGCAGGGACCAAACATTGTCCAGCGAAATTCCCCCATAGGAATCACTATTTTGCGAATCGCTATAGCGATTGCAAAAAGCCAATGCCTAGCAAAAAAAACTGTCATGCGGGGTAACTGTCTAGCGAGGCACCACTGTAAAACACAACACCCACTACGTCAGTGACTTAGTCCAGATGTTTGCAAACCTTCAGTTCTAGCTGTGCTGGGCAGGGGTTTTGGAAGGTGCAGTCCAAGGAACATCTGGGGATCCAAGCCTGGGAACCATTTCTCCGAGTCATGGTTGGCGTGCCCCCTGGAAAACGTAATTCAATACGCAAGTTGATGGAAAATGCACTGTCAGCTTCTGGGAAGCACTCCAGAAATAATATGGGGGCCCAAACACGCTTTCAGCCAAAGACAATCCAAAGTGTGTACACACTTAGCTTTGCAAAGGGGGGACGGGGTGGAGAATGACACTACATTTTTGTAGAAACAGTCAGATGCCAGGAACATATGAACTGCTGCCTTACGTCTCTGGCTCCACAGCCAGAGGTCATAGGTTGAGAGTTCGATTCCCCCACTAGGCCTCCTTGACTCACAGAGTCCCTTCCAGCCCAGCTCTCTAAGATTTTTATTATTATTATTTTCATTGATTGATTGATTGATTCCATCTAGTCTCATTTGCAAGCCACCCTTTTCCTCCTTAAGAAGGCTCCGGACATCTCGTAAGGCGAAAGCGAGTAAGTTTAAAACACAAGAAAGAACACATTTTTTTTTTAAAAAAAAAAAGCAAATTAAACTCTCATAAGAAACCAATGTATTAAAACATTCAAAGCATTCACTTTAAAAACTAACAAGCTGGAAAGCTCAAAACGTCATCACTTTAAAAATGACACCTTAAAATTAAAAGTTTAAAAATTCAAAGTCTCCCTGAAGAGAGGGGTTGTTTCAGCTGTTAGCAGAAGGGGGGCCCTAATCTTCCAGGCGAAACCATTCCAGAATCTGGGAGTCTCTACCATAGAAAAGGCCCTGTATCACGGGTTTCCCCAGATAGTAAAAGCTATCTTGCATATTCTAGTTTCAAGCAGTCAATAATGTGTTCAGCTCTTCTCCTGGGGGGGGCAGTGGGGAATCAAACCCCCAACTATCAAACTGCCAACCTCTGTCTCCGCAGCCAGAGACCTGAACTCTTGGGCTCTCCAGCCAGCTATTCCAAGCACCACGAGAAACATTCGAGAAGATACACTTGAACTAATGCAGGAACTACATTCCCACCCCACCCTCCCTTTGGCTTGCATTTCCTCACATTCTTTAGACGTTCATCAAAAGCAGGAATTAGCTGGTGGGAGTGAGAGAGCCGAAGCGCTAGAAACAAGTGCATCGTAAAGAGGAAAAGAGTCTCACGCTGAACTCTGGAAACCATCTCAGAGATATTAAACTACAAAAATATTTGTTGCCTAAGCAAAGTTGCAGCTGAAGCCGGAGGACTCTGTGGTCATAGAATCGTGATGAAGTTAGAAGGGGGCTTGAAGACCATTGAGTCCAACCCCTTTGCACAGTGCAGGAAAACACATCAAAGGGTATCTGCCAGGTGGTTATTTAAGTTCTTCTTGAAGGCCTCCAGCGATGCACTGCTCGCTACCTTCTCTTGGAGGTCATGCGTTCTATTGCCGTACTGCTGGAAGAGTTAAGAAATGTTTCCTGATGTTCAACCAAAATCTGGCTTCGTGTCACTTGAGCCCACGGTTGCATGTCCTGCACTCTGGGATGGTCCAGAAGAGATCCTGGCCCTCCTCTGAATGACAACATCTCCAGTCTTTGGGAAAAAAGGCTAGCCTACATCGCTGTTAAGGTGACCTAACGGCCTGCCTGTGTGGACATTGACTTCACGGTGCAACCTGAACTTTTCCATGCCCTGGAAAAATACTCTGGCTGGTGCCCAACTGAACAGAAAAGCAAAGTGTAATGGAAAGCATGGGGTCAAGAACATCAGGATGGTTTTGTTTTCTCCTGCGAAGTGTGTGTGTGTGTGTGTGTGCGCGCGCGCACCAGATAAAGCAGACAAGTTCTACCTTAGTTTCCCCCTTAAGTGAGAATATGAACGTTTGAGTGCATTTTTATGCGTTTCCGTTGAGTTCAGTCAAGCTTATTCCAAATTCAAAGACCCTAAGATCATCACACTAAAATCCTGTTCTTTCTCACTTGAGAACAAGCCCAGAGGAACACACAGGATCTTATTCCTGATTTAGACATGCACAGCAATGTTCCCTCTGAGCTGTGGTGGGTCTGTGGGTGCCCATCCGTGAGCCGAGCCATAGCTGCTGCCTGTTTGCTTCTGATCACAGCCACAAACCCGTGTGTGTGAGTGAAAAATTAGAGGGACTGTTGATACAGAGAGCTCTACATAGTGGAGGGTGGGGGCTCCGATGTCAGCAGGAGTGGTGGATTCCAGCTTTTGGTCCAAACTTTACAAAAGTTCACCAAGATGCTGAACCTTACTCGCAAATAGGTTCAGCACTCTGGACAGCACCTCTAAAGCGGAAACCCCAGATGGGAGTCTGGGCTGTGAGTATGTATGTATGGTAAGTGGTTGCAAGAAATTGGACCCGGGACTCAAAACGGAGCACCGCGCCGCCAGCCCTGTCTTGCTCCAGATCACCTGATACAGGTGCACACCATCAGCAAAAGCCAACTTGGTTCCTAATGGGTAGGCCACAGACAGAGTAGACCTAATCACTGGATACGATTATTTAAACCAACACTTACCTAAGTCCCATCGATTCAGTGGGCCTCCCGGGCTTCCTTCCTGCGCCTCAGGTGTAATGGAGCGAGACAGGGGGGGGATCCTAAGCAAGGGCACCAGCTTTTACTTTGCCTCAGGCGGCAAAACTTTTTGGGTCAGCTCTGGCGAAAGAGATGAACGTTTGCGCATTGCACCGAGATTCCTTCGGCTATGAAGCTCACCGGCTGAGCTTAGACTCATCCTGAGATATTCTTGGCCTGGCCTACCTCACAGGGCTGTGGAGAAGATAAAAAACTAAGAGGCACCAGGAGGGATGGGCTGATCTTACATTCTTTCTTTGTCAGAGAAGGGCTTAGCTTTTCCGTCCATCTAATTGTAGTTATCGCCTAACCACGCCCTAGAGATAAACCCTATTTTTTAAAAAATTATCCTTCTTTCTTAATCACACCGACACCCCGTTTTCCTCCAGTGAGCGCTAGAACTGTCCTTCCTTTGCTCACCCCCCCAAATACTGTTTGTTCACAACAACCCTGATAGGTAGAAGGCCAGTACCGGCAACCCTGGGGCGCCTGCGAAACAAGGAAAGGGCACCCGAAAGGACGCCGTTCCCACGTCCGCGGATGGCCAAGGTGGGACAAGGAGGAGAGGAAACGTGAACGGGGAGGGAAAAGGACCTCCGGCTGGGAAGCCAGGCCTCCCCGGGCGGCATGCGGGAGAGCAACTCCCGGTGTCTAGATTGCGCGGAGGGGCGGGTTCGCACGACCATTCGGGCTCCCTCCCTCTCCCTCTTTCTCTTTCTCCGTCTGCCGATTCCCTTCCCAGCCCGGACGGATTTTTCCACTCGTTCGGCAAGCAGCGGCGGCGGCGGGCGCGTCCCTCCCGGGAACCGAGAAGCGCTCGCGTGTCGGCCGCACGCCTTT